CTTACACTGCTAAATTAGGGACGGCTAGCGCAGATAGCCCTCATGTAGCTTTGCGCGAAATTTAAAACAAACAAACAATCTTACTGAAAAAAAAAAGTTCCCAACAATTTACAAAAATCCGTTATCAAATCAGAAGTAACTTTTCTTGACTATCTTAATCCACAACGTCTTGCCTAACATAGCCAGGTGGTTAGGGCGCTCGACTCGCAATCTACGAGTCGCGGGTTCGAATCCCCTTCCCACCAAACATTCTCACCCTTTCAGCAGTGGAGGCGTTATAATCTGACGATTAATCCTACTATTCGTTGGTAAAAGAGTAGCCCAAGAGTTGGCGGTGGGTGGTGATGACTAGCTACTTTCCTTCTAGTCTGGGACGGCTAGCGCAGATACCCCTGGTGTAGCTTTGCGCGAAATTCCAAACAAACAAACAAACATGACATCTTTCCATAACATAAAGAAGCACAATAGAACACACAAGAACAACAACCAAGTAAAACTCCCAAGAAGCAAACGAAACTATACACGAACACAAAGTAACCAACGAAACTACACCTAAACACAAAGAAGCAAACGAACCAAGCAATGAAGACGACTTTATTCTAGTAACACCAAAGAAACCCAAACTGATAACACACCAAAAACAAACGAAAAACACACAACCAATGAACACCCAAACACAACAAAAAGAAGCCATAAACAAAGTAACAGAAGCAACCAAAAACATATTCTGCGAGTTTCGAGCACAATACAGAAGACCCCCAAACCAAAGATAACAGTATTACACATCAATATTACCACAAATTATACAACTATTCGTATTACCACAAACAATACAGGACACAAATACACAGAAAACATAAGTCCAAAATCACACATAACCAGATAACATAATATGAACATAGTCCAGAAAAGGAAAGTTGTAAATAGAAACAGATAAACAACCAAACCAACTTACTCAAAAAAACACCAAAAACATAGAATAAATAACAATAATACAGGAGGGAGGAAGAGGTCTATTAAGAACCTGACCCTCCCAGGTCGTCAAAAGACCTAAATCCCGATGATTGATCGGTTTTTTTTTTATGATCGTTCCATAAATGCCCCCCAGTGGCACAGCGGTATGTCTGCGGACTTACACCGTTAGAAACCGGGTTTCGATGCCCGTGGTGGGCAGAGCTAAGATTGCCTTTGTGTGGCTTTGTGCATAATTAAAAACAAACAAACAAACTTTCCATAAAATTCAACATTCTAATTTTCTTTCATGGCTCCAACAGGATATCTACTTTTAATTATGTTCGACAGTTTCATATAGTTTAGTTTCAAACACTATCTTTATATTCTGCTTACTTAAGAGACTCTATAACCTTCGCCCTACTTACCTGACCTTTCACAGATATTTCCTTCCTATAAAACCTACTAAATCAGAATGCCTAAACAAAACATGCACTCGAAATAAATGAATCACTCATTTTCATCTAAGATTTTGAACCCACTTAAAACCTTCACTGTATCTAAACGCTCTATTTACACTTGTTTACCAAATACCGGAAAACAAAACGTTATCATTAAGAAACATCTTCAAAGAATATTTAACGAAAAGTATCCTAAAGTCGACCTGAAGGTTATCTGCAAACTTATATTTAGACTAAAGTCATGTTTTCCGCAATAAAGAAAGCCTGCCAATTACCCATTGTTCATGGCTCGTTTACTTATACATGTGCGGAGACTGTAAGGCCTCCTATATTAGAGAAAATAAACGCCCATGAACTTACGGGATTATAGGTCATTCTCACTATGTAATACGTCAACATAATAACAGTACAGGACATTCGATCAATATATCATACTTTAAAATTCGTTTTACCGAAAGTCTCAAGCTGAACTTAGAACTCTAAAACCCAGAGTTCGGTTCCCCGCAGTGGACAGAGTGCCGATAGCCCATTGTGTAACTTTGTGCTAAAAAACAAGTACAGTTGACAAACACAAACTGCTTCCCTATCATCAACATAAAATATTCATGTGACATATAATTGTCCTAATTTAAATTTTGTTTTTATATATTTTTAGTTGGCTCTGTATATCTGTTATCGTCATTGTATCTGTTCTTATTTCTGTAGATTGCTGATTATGAACATTTTTCCGAAACGTTTAATAAACATGCTTTGTGCACTTACGTTCGTGTTTTGTTTTAAAATTTATCAATTTGAAAAACCAACCCCCACTGTGGCTCAGCACGAAATCTAAGGGCTTATAATGCTAGATCGTTGTGTGGATTTATGTTTAACAGCAAGAAACCAAACATATAAGTGCTGTCTATAAAATTCAGTACTAGCACAACTATCTACCTTTATTAACTTCAATGCTGTATTTGATTTATTATTTATATTTTACATGTCAATTATTTAATTTTTGAGTTAGTATATCTAAAGTTCTGCTTCTCTCTCATGGTAAATAACTTACATAACAACCGCTAGATGTCAGTGTAAGACATGTTTCTAAAACCCATGCTAAAGAACAACGCGTAAACAATCCACCAATGGGAGTAAATGTTCGTTACTTAAGACTTTGAGCAGCAATGAGTTGCAGGTTAGTGAGTAGTCGACTGGTTGGTTGATGGTTGGAAGTGTAATAGCAACAGTGAAACCGCAAGAAACGAGACTCAGCTGTTTTTATCGTAACCAAAATTGACTAATATGATGTCATGCATGATACTAGATTTGAACCGATAGAAATTGTGTTGCAAAAGAAGGATTTTGTCGGTAGTTAAAGCTCTATAGTACTGTCACCAATTGTGTAAATTATAGTTGGACGTAGCTAAGAAGGAAGACAACAACTCTGACCAAGATATTAGTAGATTTTTCGACCTGGAAACAAAGAGTGAATTGTAACTAAATGTAAGTAATTTATAGAAATGATTCGTTGTATTTTTGTTTTTTATTTTATAATCAAGAAAGAAGCCAATAAGATCCTGTATATTTTCATATGTGGTTTGCTTTTAACATGCTTTGAAGTTTGTAAATGGAAAACGTATAAACATAATTAATATCAAAGAAATAATTATCAAGAATATTATTCAAGTCACGATTAGAAACTGTTGCTAACATGAAGGGAAGGCATTTGTAAACAATACTTTGATAATCAGTGGGATTCATACCTATAAACAATAGTTTGATAATCAGTGGGATTCATACCTATAAACAATAGTTTGATAATCAGTGGGATTCTTACCTATAAACAATAGTTTGATAATCAGTGGGATTCATACCTATAAACAATAGTTTGATAATCAGTGGGATTCTTACCTATAAACAATAGTTTGATAATCAGTGGGATTCATACCTATAAACAATACTTTGATAATCAGTGGGATTCATACCTATAAACAATACTTTGATAATCAGTGGGATTCATACCTATAAACAATACTTTGATAATCAGTGGGATTAATACCTATAAACAATACTTTGATAATCAGTGGGATTAATACCTATAAACAATACTTTAATGCTCTATTATATCATTTTTGTGATTATGTGTGTGAAATAACGCAATCGGCCTTAAAGGCATTTTGAAATGCTGGTTTATATGTTTTCAGTAACTAGTATTAATATTATTATTAGTTACCCAGTAAATAAAGAAAATTTAATTCTAAAAATACTTGAATTATTAAATCTATGCTAGGTAGTTTAAATGCAGTTGTGAATTTTTTCTTTATCATGTCATCATATTAATATTTTCCATTTGTTATAGTATTCTTTTAAACTATTGAACTGGCGTTGCTGTAACCGAAAATTCGTAGGCAACTTTATAGGGCACTAAAGAAGTTCAAAAGCGAGAATGTATCAATCAAATTTATTGTTTTTATTCATTAAATTTGGATTCAACAGACCTACAACATGAGTTTTTGTATTCGATTATTGTACTACGAAATTTAAACTCTTAGTCTTAGTTTTTACTAAGTTTGAATTTTGTCGCGTAAGGTGCCGCCTACAGAAATGTTGACGTGACAAGAAGGTGGGTCACGTGAATAATTAAAAACTCACGTTTATGGTAGTATCACATACTGACGTAATTAGCGCGGCACTTATATTGCCAATTTGTAAATGATTTGGAACTCTTACGTGGACAATTTTAAATGAACCGATCATAAGAGTAAGATAGCCTTGCATCATTTTGAGGTATAGTGAGCAAACCGGAATTCCTTTTAACTACTATAAATATAACTGACAAAATTCAGTTTTTTTTTCTTCTTAACATTATAATACTTTACGTAAAATGTAATTTTTTTTATATGGTGTTTTTTTTAATTAGTTCTAACTCTTGTTCGGAAATACAGTAAATTATTAATATGTTCTCATCATTGTATTGTTTCCAAACTACAAACATAAAATTTCGGAGGGAAAACTTGAAGTGTGTTGTTGGAAATAATTTGTAACAAATTACAAATTAATATTGTCGCATGGTCAGTGAAACTGAGCTGTGGTTCCTATTGTAGCATGGTCAGTGAAACTGAGCTGTGGTTCCTATTGTAGCATGGTTAGTGAAATTGAGCTGTAGTTTCTATTGTAGCATCGTTAGTGAAACTAAGCTGTAGTTCCTGTAGTATTATAGCATGGTTAGTGAAACTGAGCTGTGTTTTCTGTAGTAGTGTAGCATGATTAGTGAAACTGAGCTGTGGTTCCTTTGCTATTGTAGCATGGTTAGTGAAACTGAGCTGTAGTTCCTGTAGTATTGTAGCATGATTAGTGAAACTGAACTGTGGTTCCTGTAGTATTGAAGCATGGTTAGTGAAACTGAGCTGTGGATCCTTTACTATTGTAGCATGGTTAGTGAAACTGAGCTGTGGTTCCTGTAGTATTGTAGCATGATTAGTGAAACTGAGCTGTGGTTTCTTTACTTATGTAGCATGATTAGTGAAACTGAGCTGTGGTTTCTTTACTTATGTAGCATGATTAGTGAAACTGAGCTGTGGTTTCTTTACTTATGTAGCATGCTTAGTGAAACTGAGCTGTGGTTTCTTTACTTATGTAGCATGATTAGTGAAACTGAGCTGTGGTTTCTTTACTTATGTAGCATGCTTAGTGAAACCGAGCTGTAGATAACAAAATTAATCAAGTCCAAAATGTGAATATGCTGAGTGTTAATTAATTAGTTGTTGTCATAATGAGTAAGAACGCTTTTTTATAGGGGATTAACTGGTCATATATATATATATATATTTATTGCAATAACTTTTCTTCATTAATATCTGTTAAAATGCGTAAACAAATAAAAACATTAAGAGATGGGGGGCTTTACTTTCACGCTAATCACAGTATTATAAACACTTACTACTGACGGTTGCTATACATCTTGTGTAATAGATTACACTACTTTTGCAGAGAAGCATCAAATGCAGTTAGGTTTTTGGGGTCGATTTTTTTTCCGTCTTGTAGGTCGCTGCAAAGCATCGCATATCAAATCTATTGGACGTAACTAGAATTTCAGTGCTGTACAAGACAGATTTTGAACATAATTTGTCTGAAGGTATTGTTGGACGCGATTAAATTTCGTATGCAACATTAATTGATAGATCTTTTCCAATATAATCCTCACTTGTGTTGGTACATCATTGTAAAAAAGGTCAAATTAAACAAAGCATTTAAGGCTACTTAATTGTTAATAAAGAACCAAGTCCAACCAGTTAAAGTAAGTTAGAATGACACAGTCAAACTCAAAACCACCTGTCTGGAGTAAACAATGAGTAGGAGGATTTGTTATTCCTCATAATGTTTTTTCTTATTGTTTCTTAGTGCTTAAGGCACTACATGAGCCAATGCTTTGCAATCATGACTATGATCTGCAGCCTGGTTTAGTTTGTTTTAAATTTCGCGCAAAGGTACACGAGGGCGATTTGCGCTAGCCATTTGTAATTTAGCAGTGAAAGACTAGAAGGAAGTTAGTCATCACCACCCACCGCCAACTCTTTGGCTACTCTTTTAAAAACGAATAATGAGATTGACCGTTACATTATAACTTCCACACGGCTGAAAGGGTGGTATGTTTGATGGGACGGATATTTGAACCCGCGACCCGTAGATTGTGTGTCGAGTATTCTAACCACCTGGGCATGCCAGGCCTGGCTGCAGCCTGTTCTTGAAATGTAGAAAGTTTCTTTTCACAATACATTTCAAAGTTTGCATACACTTAGTAGTAATAAAATATGGGTGCCCAAGTCAATACTCAACATTACCATATGTAGAAGTCTTTCAGTTCTTCAACACGTTAGTATAGTCGATTTAGTTATGAATAGGTAGGCTGCAATGTTCCAGACAATCATTCCAAAAATGATACGTCCAGTTATGGATCCTTTCTTGAAAATCCACGTTATTATTTTCATGTGGCATCTTTACTTCAACGCAGTATCCTGGCAACTGCCGAATTTCATAAAACTTTATGAATTAGGACACCATGACCAAATTCAGTGGAAATGGCCTCATTACTATCTGGGTTTGTGGCTATTCCAGCACTCATAGTAGCTTAGCGTTGTTGTTTAGTTCTTGTGTAAAAAAAGAGAGGTACATTAAATACATACACATTTGAAACTCTTGAATGCAAAGGATATTTTTCTTAAGTTTGACTTTATTTAGTGTATGCCATGCACATACATTGTATTGAGTATGATTATTTTTGAAGTATGGGGGAGCATCACTACTCCAGTTTAAATAGTAATAGAAGTGGGTCTTACAGATAAAGTAATAACTTTTACGGTCAGTCTGGCATGACAAATGTGAAGGTAGTCTGGATGGAAAGAAGCCAAATCGTTTTTTCTTGTGAGGCCGTGTTGAAGGATCCGTAGTGTATATCATTACCAGCGAATTTATAGTCGAAAGTTTCGATAAGTGGGGGAGGTGCCGGTCAGTAGGGAAACAATGTTAAATTCTTGTGGTTTTATCATAGTTAGGAGAAACGTTTTTTTTTTTTTTTAAGATTTAATGTTTTTTGAAAAGTGACCATAATGATGTTGGAGCTAAAGTTGTCGAAAGCATTATCTCTTTGTTGATGAGCAAAACTTTGTTTTCTGGTATTTGTTTTTTAAGGGTGATCCGACAACATATAAACGGAGAAATAAACTGCCAGAATTCTGATATTTCTCTCTCGGGTGGATGAAGATTGTTAGAACATTACTGAACAATTTTTTTACTAAGACAACAGAGTTTAAAAATAATAAAAAAACGCGTTTTAATGAAACATTTATGATGGTATGTGGGGAAAGCCAAATTTAAACATTTTGAATAAGCTCCGTGAATTTCGCATTAGACGTTAGTAGACTGATACATAATGTGCATAACTAGGTAAATATCTTGCGCAAGTTGTGGCGTGCGTTTTATGCTAATACATACAAGTATATAACCAGAGATTGTTTGTTTGTTTCTAATTAAGCACGGAAGCTACACAATGGGCTATCTGTGCTCTTCCCACCACGGGTATCGAAACCCGGATTCTAGCGTTATAAGTCCGCAGACATACCGATGTGCCACTGAGAACATAATACTACACAATAAACTGTAAATTCATCCACAGAAAAAAATCTAGTAAAGATAACAAAATATTTATATCGTGAATATTTACAATTTCATTGAAATGTTTATTATTTGAACAAACTGATAATCAACTGTGGTTTTGGAAGAATTTGTCAGCATTAAACAAGCTTATATTCATGCAGTTTGACTATTTCTCCTTGATGAACATTTGATTTAAAATTCATACTATGACATTAACATGCTTGTAGATGAATAATCTGAGAGGTTTAACATTGTAATGAGCGATAAAACGTTCGCTATCATGAATTAGAAATAAACAAACTTAAATTATCTTTAACTAGTGGACGAACGATTGTTTCGGATATTCGCACGGAGATACTAAAGGGCCATTTGCTTGAGTCATCCTTAATTTTGAACGCCCCCCAGTGGCACAGCGGTATATCTGCGGACTTACAACGCTAGAGACAGGGTTTCGATACCCGTGGTGCGCAGAGCACAGATAGGCCATTGTGTAGCTTTGTGCTTAATTTAAAACAATCAATCAATGACAATTTTGAACTTCTACACAAGAGAAAAGGCAGCTAGTTAACAGTGCCACCCACCGCCAACTTTTGGGCTACTTTAATTGAATAGTGAGGTTTGACTGTCGCTCGCATAACGCATCCACGGCTCGATTTTTTATTTAATGCATTAATTGGATGCAAATAAATGACCCTCGGTGTTACAGTCCGGCAAAATAACCATTATGCATAAACAAATAAACTATTTATTTCATGCAACAGATAAATATTGCTCTGATTAAAATCCTAAAATAATCGCTGTTTTGTGCGGTACATAAACATTGGTCGGGTTTAAATTGTAATCTATGTATAAATCGTTGTCTTGCGTAGAAGATAAACTTTGTTCGAGTTTAATCATAAGATATATGATATAAATGGTTGTTTTAAAAATTGTTTAAAAAAACAACAAAAAACGTACGAGTAAAAATGACAAAGCAATTTCAGAGAATCATTGCTTGTCGACCTAACTAGGACAACAGTCGCCTGCCCATATATAGTCTCTATGCCAAATCTCTATGCTGGTACTTTTAAACTATACTGAACATTATCCACTCACTGCCTAATCATTGCCATTTTTTTCTCTTTGTAAGAATATTGCCAGGTGTTCGTCAAGAGGTTTTCACCCGTTTACAGTCTGTGGGTTTACTGCGAAGACCATGATTCAAATTAAGACTAACGTGGCTCCGGCAGTCGAGCAAAATTTAACTCTAGAATAGACTTCATAGAAATGTTTTTCTTTGTAGATAGCTGTCACAAAAAGATCAGATATCTTTATATTATGTTATGTTAGTAATAGTTAGTTGATATGCATTTTTACACCAAGTAATTGATAAAACCTGTTATTAATATGTATAACTATATGTTGTTAATATGTATCTTACATTTGCCATAACTAGAAACTGTTCTAGATAGGACGACCAAAGCGGTTTTTCTGTTACTCGAGTATGATTTTGGGTAATATAAGGAATTGTGTCTATAAAGTAACCTTATTATCTCATTATTAGAATAATTCCGTAAAATAATCAAAAAACAAGCGCACAAGCATTATGACTCTACATTTACGAAAAATGTCAGTCTGCCAAACCAGCTACCCTGTTTTTTATCTTATCATGCGTGTTAGTTTGCCGCTTCTTTGATCACGCACCTGTGTCTAGAAATTGTGGTAAAATGACAGAGTGGGATTTCGAAGACACGCCTCAAAGACAGCAGCCGATTTTTTTGTTTTCTTAACAGTGAATCCTAATAAAACGAATCAGGCTAAAGTTTACTTTCTAATGTCATTCCCAGTTATTTAGGCTTACAAACCCTGAAAGTTTTATTCGACGCGGTGTTGGCTAACTTTACAGGAGGAATGGTTTACTAACGTACACGAATGAGTGTGCAATGTTTTATTGTTGTTATCTGTATAAACTAAATACCTTAGCCTTTCTAATATGCCGATAACCGATATAAATGAAGCTCACCTTTATTACTCTATTTTTACATACCTTTGTAACGTCTCTGTTTAAATCTTGGAATTTGTCTTCCATAATATATTCATTCACTAAACGAATTGTGTAGTCTATCGTGTTAGTTATCAGATTCTTTCATAATACTTTAACATGTATAACCTAATCATCCATCAGCATTTTTTGCGCAGCGTTTTTTTTTTTTTGTGACATGCACCTCCTCATGAACCGAATACGAGGTAAACATATTAACCCTCCCAACTCCAGATGTTTTTCAGTGTATAATTATATCTTGCCGTAGCATTTCTTCCCTACGACATATATTTCAACTTTTCCTATAGGTAGACGAGTGGGAAGACAACGAGAAACTCTGGTAGCATATTTATTAAATGTTCATATTTCTTTATCCAGTTTTCGATATACCATCATAGCAGTATCTTTCTTCTTTTTCGTCGTGAAATCGTAAACACTTGTTGTAGACAAAATTTTACAAGTGTAAAAAAAAACACAAAAAAACTTGTAAATAAAAAAAATTAGGAATTAGGATGGGAACACCAAAAGGTAAGGGAACAATGTAGGAATGGACTAGATAACACTACAACACTTGGTGGTTTTTGACAAGGTGCAACCTCAAAGTGGGTGTGGCCATCGTTTAGCCCATTTCTACTTCATATGCTTTTTGTAACATGGTAATTGTTCAAATTAAGTGAAAGATGTATATAACTAAATTTCTCTGTTGTAAACTTTGTTTCAGCAACCAAGTACAGATACATGTATGTAAAGAAATTACGTGAACCTAACGAAATGCATGACTTCATAAGAAGGGTGTTTGATGTCGGAAGTCAGACAGGAAGCTCCAATAGTCATACTTTGCTTTTGGGAGATATTATAACTGTCTGACTGGTAAGGGGCGGGTCAACAGAATAGTATCAGTTTTTTTTATTTCTTTAGTATTTAGAAAGGATTAACTACTGATAAAACTTAAATCTATAATTGGATCAAAAATCAAAGTAAAACACGAAGTAGAAATGGGCGGAAAAATGGCCACACCCAATTTGAGGTTGCGCTGTGTCAAAAACCACCAAGTGTTGTAATGTTATCCCGCCCATTCCTACTTTCTGGCCCCTAGTGGCACAGCGGTATGTCTGCGGACTTACATCGCTAGAATCCGGGTTTTGATACCAGTGGTGGGCAGAGTACAGATAGCCCATTGTGTAGCTTTGTGCTTAATTACAAACAAACAATTCTACTTTCTAATTTTTTTTACACTTATAAAATTTTGTCCACGGCAAATGCTTGCGATTTCACGATTACTAAGTCTCGAGAGTGACTAGACTCTAGACCTATCCTTTTCATAGCTTTCTTAGAGCTATCTCTCAACATTTCCTGGCTTTAGTTTATATCTTTGTTATAGTTATTCTTCCATCTAGCCAGGGTGGCAGCCTTTTCTTTGTCTGGATTAATAGTTAAAGCTTGTTTCGAATATTCAGCGTTACTGTTTCTAACCTTATTTCTATGCTTGCAGTAATGCTCTTTTCACTTGGACAAAGACTTTTCAAGGTTATCAACATAATATTTTCCTCTTTTCTCTCTTTTTTTCCTGAATGGCATATATTTTAAAAATTGCACTGTTTCAAGTACAACCTTAGATGTCAATAGATTACACTTAGTTTGAACACAATGCAATGGTAAATTATACAACTTATCGTTGCTGTTTTAAGTCCAGAGTGCTGAAACAAAGCCGTGTCAGATTTTGGCAGTGGTAGCGTTCGTTCTCACATAGGAGACTCACGTCTTAGGCACCAACTGCTATGATAGAATTGCTTTGTCCAACACAGAACCTTCGAGTCAGAGGTATAGAACTGAAAACTTCACGTTGAAAGATTAAATCATAGTTAGAACCTAGATCTGGAGAATCTGTGTAGTACACTTTTTTTTTATCTGGATGATACAGCTACAGGCTGATCACATAGCATGTGCGCACAAACAGTCGTGCACTTACACGTGATATGAGAGCGGGTCGTTACTTGGTAACTCACAGAACGTGCTTGTAATCACAGAATGTGGATACTAGTATTGTTAGCTCGTTAGTAATGTTGCAAAATGGTTATTGTTATTACCAATGTTATAAGTAAAACTAAGAAAAACGCTTTTACTCAAGGTGTCATAATTAAAACATGATGATTTGCAAAAGGTGAAAGGCAGGAGAGAGCTATGCCTTTCCAACAACGTTAGTCTGTCAGTCATATAGTTAGATTGAGAAATTTATGATTTTTGTGAATATTTTATTTTAATTCACAGACTTTCTCAAGTGCTTTCATAGCTTGTTACTCTGCAGTTGGTTTGTTTACTACTAAACAGTGTGTGTAAAGTGCTTATAAAGTTGTGTTTGAGATTTTAGTTTGTATTGCAGATATTGTACATCTGGCCCATTCTTACTATAATTACTACCGTACTTATGATATTTGGCCTGAAAGTAAGGCTTAAATAAATAGCGTTGAATATCTTGATTACGTAAACTGATGGTAGATATAGCGTTGTTGACATATTATTACATATTCTTCTTCATTTTCACTCATAAGTTCTTAGAAATTGTATATAAAAATATATAGAAATATAGAAATTGTATTAGATGCTGGCTAAGGGTAAAAAATCTGTTTCTTTGTTAATTATATATTTAGTTATGGAATTCCTACGACACGAGTGTACAAGTATTACTGTTTGACGTTTCTAAATAAGGCACGTTGGAATTCTTCTATAGATCCTCAGCAGCCCGAGATGAATGACAGCGTGAACTGCCAACAGGGGTTTATCACTGAAATCCACTGCCCCTTGACAGTACCAATCCGCACACAGCCTCTCACTGATACATACGCAGTAGATCCAACACCTTTTGCAAGGTGAGTGAGTATAATCTAGTAGTTGTTGCGCTGTAAAAGCGGAAACTTGGTTTTCTGATATCGGTATGCTGTTTGTTTAATTGAAACCCGTCATAACAAACACTCCACACCCTAGCTCATTCCTGTTTAGCTCAGAAATCTAAGCAAAATTGTTCGATATTTTGAGATCTGTTAATGAAAACTTAAAGTGAAATATTTGAAGGAGTTTTTCATAGTTTCGTGGAGCCGGATCTGTAGCTTAGTACGTTTCTCGTTGCTCTGATGCTCAGCTGCTAATAATAAGAATTATTGTTATATGTATTTAAACTGTTTTATCTTTAGAACGTGTGTTAAAAACTACATATTGTACAATTTAAATGCAATTATTTAAAAATACGCTTCATTCAAACAGCACGAGTGCGTGTTTCAGTGGAGACACCTTTCTGAGTTCCTGTACAAAGCATTTCGTTTTACCAGAATCGGAATTCAGCGCAAATTTTATCACTATTTTATCCGTCAAGTGGCAATGCTTTGGTATGAAACCCGGGAAAGGTTGATAGATATTACGTCAAGGTAGAGACTTAACATGTACATTGCTAGTAGAATATGAACATAAACATATAACAACAGCCCACGACCTATTAAAATCGTTCTCAACTTTCCTAAGCATGCAAAATAAAAGGCTTAAAATTTGTTAACTAAATACATTTTGTTGTAATGAAGGTCTTATATTAGTCATTTTGAAATAACTGATTAAATAGTGTACTTAAGTTAAATGATAAGAGATCTTAACTATTAGACAATTATTCGAAAGTAAAATTATGAGTTATGAAAAATATCATTGATAATTTGGACAGCTCCGGTAATTTCCTACCACTACGTCATTGGTGGCAGCCCAAAAATGTTTAACATTTTCAGCCAGAGAACAGTCTCCTAAAATGTTCAGCATTTTGTTAGAAAAGGAAACCTAGAATTCGTACGTTTTGTTTGTTTTAAATTGTAGCGAGTTCTGTTAACATGTGTTTATCGCATTAACGCAGCGATATTTTTTTATTATGCGTGATAACCCTATACTTTGATAATGTATTGGTATAAAAATAAATGTTTGTCGAAACAGATGTTTTTAAGACTTATAGATGGTGAGCACGTGCCTTTATTAAATTCTTACTCTATCCGGAAACTAGCTTTATGATGATATTTCGTGCAAAATTCCAAAATCATATCTTAATTGGGTATTATTCAAAGTTGAGCGTTTTGTATTCTGTTTGAGTAAAATAACGTCTACTATAATAACGTGGTGATTCTTTGTGCCGTTTGTTCGTGGAAATCTTTCTTTTTTATATTATCTTATATATTTGAAACTTTTGTAAGTTGATTATCACAACTATTTTCCTAATAGAAAATATTTTTTTGCTTTTTTTTTTTATAAAATGTACGAGCATAACTTATTGTCATATGATAAGATATTTGATTCCTAGATGTCAACTGATAACAGTTGGATGATGTTTTGATTATAAATATCTCAGAATAATTAATAATGAGGTTATTTACCGCTATATAAAGTTAAATACAACACAGACTTTCCAGTGATACCAATTACAGCATTTACTATTTACAGTTTATTAAAAATGTTTCATTAATAGGTATGTCACATTTCTGTAAACTACCTGAACACAGTTAATGTTTTAATACTTCGGAAGTTACCAGAACATACAGCATGTAGTATTAGCATCATTTAAGCAAAAGTATCACAGTTTGCAAATGGCGTAGTCTAATATATTTATAATGTTGCTCAAAATTAAATTCCACCCGTTATTTCATAGTAATGATAAATTTTATCTGCATAAAACATAATGACGTAAAATGAAACAACTCATTTTATTTTCCTTTTGCGATTTTTCTAACTTTAAATAAACACGAAGTTATTACGCAATAATTACTAACTATAGTGACTATTTAAGTCATGTAAAGCCACTGGTTGGTTGTTATTGCATAACCTGTGGACGTCATCAGCTTTGGAATCATACGGCTGAAACTTCTCGCCTATTTTTTTTATTTTTTACCGAGCACGCCAACTTTGGGCCTCTCCCTCTCCCCCGTGTCTAGAAGGGCAATTGCCTTCTTTGGTTGTTGTTCTTCTCTGGAGGAAACACTGTTATTTGACTAGGTACGAAAATGAGTTGTTAATTATCCTGACGTATTTTGAAGGTAGATTGTTGAGGCAGATAAATCACACCAAAGGGAGGAAAGACAACGTCCTTCTGAGTTATGTGTGGGGAGTAAGATGTATATGCTTGTAAATATTATGTGTGTGTATATATATATACTCTTGTTGCTTGTCTAGCTCCGTTAATCATTAATGCTGCATCCAACTTACGAAACATTTGTAAAACCCACACCTTGTATAAGGACCTTCTGATTCAAAACACCAAAACTGGATTTATAGAATTTTACACTTTAGTCAGCAGAATAAAATTAATTCGTGCGTAGTTTGCCATGTAATGTATTCAGTACATGTCCCCGCTCAAGGTTAGTTTGACTTGACATGTTGTAGATACGAATTTTCCTGTGACGCTTGGAGTCTTAAGCTTTAATTTGCCTGTTTTTTTGAGAAATATTTATTACTCTGCTTGTTTGAAGAAATTGATCATCATACAGTAATTTATTTGTGTTAAATGACTTTCATTTAGATTTGTAAGCGCACACAAGGCTTCATTTGATATAGAAATGTGATTTTTGTTTTTTATCGAAACAATAGAGAACAGATTGTGTTTCTGACAAAAGAAACAGATAGGTTGGTCTGTAAACCTAATTTCCTCATCAGGTTCACCCACGCGGCATGAATCGAGAGATGTGTACCACTGCCAGGAATTGAAGCCTGATCAAGTTCAGTTGAGTGCATTAGCCGAACTATAAGAAAATCGGGTATTTTACTACCTCTATAAAAGGCTACGGTGTTAGGTCTAAAGGGTGGATACCAGTTGGTCTGGCTTCTCCTAGTCACGTGCGCCGTGGTAAATGTCATGGGCCACAATAACGGTTCCTGGTAGCAACGGCTGTAGGGAAAGGCACCATTCTTGATGAAGTTAGTTAAAATGTACACGATGACCCTATGGCGTGTGTAAATAAGAATCGCAAAGTGTTTCCCCATACACTTTATCTTAACTGTATTTTTTCATAATGTTTGAAAATCGACAGCATATAGGTTGTCTACGCTCCTAGAAACATGTTTCAGAACTATGGGGAACATTTTAAGTGGTGCTTAGCATAAGTTTAGTAAGTTTACAAATGTTATGTAATTTCGTAGCTGTTTTATAATTTAACACCATAACAAGTCCCATAAAAAATTGTATAATGTTTAATACTTACAATTTGGTACAAGAAAACTAGAATAGTTTCTTGAAATTCCGTTCAGTATATTTATACATCAATATCACCCAAAAAGTTAAGCTGAGAAGAGGAAAAGGTGATGAAATGAGATTAAGTTATTGTAACAATCATGCATGAAAATGTATATTAAAATACTGGGAAGGTCGATCAACTTCAAATGCGTTACTTTGTTTTCAAGTGATTCAGTAAATACGTTTAAAGGGACTTCAACTAATGTTACTAGTTCATTCACATCAACACTGAGAAAGTTAGGACTGTTCTGTTGGTCGTCGAACCGGGCTTTTCATTTTACTCTTTCGAAACATACACAATGAGATAAACAGATATCTTGATAACAGTATATACACTCAATATTATAAATAATAATTAACCATGTCGTGTGGTTATCTAATCGTTGTGGTGGTGGTGGAATGTCAGTGACTTGTTAGACTGACTGCTCGTATATTGACCATCTAGATCTTGCATACAAAAAGTGTGTAAAACGGCCATCTGACACAGACAGAACAATGGCGTCTGTTATTGTATACAAGAATCCCAGGGGCAAGGACGTAACCTGCCCATCTGAAGGTCACTCACTAACTGGCATGCCCGTGGGACACCTGTTTCTTTCTCACGCTCAAACACGCATGTAGCGACATCATACGGTATCAGAATGTGTTTCTGTTTAGCACTTGGTGCACTCTGCATTATAAGTTCAAGTTAGGTTTTAGAGGCTTTTTTAAATACTTGTTTTAGAAATTCAAAAGAACAGTTTTCGACGAAACAATACTAACAGTTTTTAACAGGTTCATATTATTTACTGTCTATAAAGTACTGTTAAGTTTTTGTTTTATATATGAAGTTGTCACTGTCTTTTTAACTGACTTACATATACATGGTGCAGCCATAAAAATCTGTTCCTATATCTCTTAGAATTCTTGAAACAATCCTACACCTCTCACCATTATTTGTCTTATTTAAACAATCTCTCACCGTTATTTGTCTTATTTAAACAATCTCTCACCGTTATTTGTCTTATTTAAACAATCTCTCGCCATTATTTGTCTTATTTAAACAATCTCTCGCCATTATTTGTCTTATTTAAACAATTTCTCACCGTTATTTGTTTTATTTAAACAATCTCTCACCGTTACTTGTTTTATTTAAACAATCTCTCATCGTTACTTGTTTTATTTAAACAATCTCTCATCGTTACTTGTTTTATTTAAACAATCTCTCATCGTTACTTGTTTTATTTAAACAATCTCTCATCGTTACTTGTTTTATTTAAACAATCTCTCATCGTTACTTGTCTTATTTAAACAATCTCTCGCCATTACTTGTCTTATTTAAACAATCTCTCGCCATTACTTGTCTTATTTAAACAATCTCTCACCATTATTTGTCTTATTTAAACAATCTCTCACCATTATTTGTCTTATTTAAACAATCTCTCACCATTATTTGTCTTATTTAAACAATCTCTCACCATTATTTGTCTTATTTAAACAATCTCTCACCATTATTTGTCTTGTTTAAACAATCTCACATTACTTGTCTTATTTAAACAATCTCTCACCATTATTTGTCGTTTTTAAACAATCTCTCACCATTATTTGTCTTGTTTAAACAATCTCACCATTATTTGTCTC